GCGCTCCGGCCGGGCAGAGCTTCCTGCCGTCATCGCCGGCTTCCTCCGGCAGGAATCGCCCCACGCCAACCAGCGGAGCAGCCTCGGGGGCGAGAGGGCCCTGGGCCCCCTGCTCACCCCGACACCAGGGCACAGGGTCCTGAGGAAGAGGAGCAGCCGCTCCCCTCGGCCTGCGGTGCCCAGGCTGGAGCCCCCTGGGTGCCTGGCAAAGGGGTGATGCCCAGGCAAGGACCTGCCACCCGCCCCAGGAGCGGTACGGTGGGCCAGGCCGCACTGACCTCGCAGGGATGCTCAGCAGGATGCTCCTGGGATGGACCTCACTGGGCCCCCTGTGCTTTCCAGCACCTTCCATGACAGCCTGTGACCCTGAGCATGGGGATCCCCAGCCACGGCTGTGGGGTCTCAGCTTTCTGCTGAGGTGGCTCCAATCCTCCCCACTGCTCCAATCCCCACCCAGCTGGGACCCAGCCCTTGTCCCAGCCCTCGTCCCGCTCCACTTCCCTGCTTCCGTCACCTCTCACACCGTCACACACCGACATTAACCCGTTTGGTGCCCACACCGGCAGAGCCACCCTCGCTCCAAATTCCCCGTCTCCAGCACCAGCTTGGACGAGGCTCTGGCTCATGCAGGAGCCATCACACATCCCCTGGGACAGGAGCAGCCCCGAACAGGAGCATCGCTGCCTCAAGCTGCCGACGCCAAACCTCTCCCTCCCTGGCGAGAGCAGCAGCCCCGCTCTGGCCCGGCACGTGGGTCGACCCCGTGGCACCCCCAGCACTGCCGGGAGCGACACCCGGGGGTAAGGAGACCTTGGGGACACAGGGATGTACAGGACCAAACCCGGATAACGCCTGGTCCCCACCTCTCCCGCAGGGCTGCGCCGGCGGCTCCAGGGCCGTTCGCTTTTCGGTCAGGAAGGTTCAGTGACGAGGGCGCCGGCTTCCCAAAGGAAACCAAAAGCAAACAAAAGGCTCCCTGGGAGCCCGTGCCAAGTCCCGCTCCGGAGGGGCGCGACGCCCGCAGCCCCTCGCCCCGGCGGCCGCGGGGCTCGCCCCGGGACGGCACCTCCCGGCGAGGCCGAGCTCGTCCTCGCAGTGCCCGTTTGGCCCCGGCCTGCACCGAACCGTCCCGGTACCGGCAAAGTTTGGCTGGCGCGAGCCCCGTCCGCGCCAGGCTCGTCCCACCGGCACGGACACACGGACAGAGCGGCTCCCCCGCCACCCCTGCACACGCACCCCTGGCGGAACGGCACTAAATCGCTTTTAACACTCCCTGCTCCCGTCCCCGGGGCTGCGGGCGGGTGGGACGGACAGACAGACACGTCCCAGCGCACCGGGCACAGCTCCGGGACAACCGGTCGCTCCCGGGGCTCGGCGATGCCACACGGGACGAGCCCACCCGGCATCCGCCGTCCCGACGGAGGGGTCCCGGCGTGCCCGCGAGGGGTGCAGCCCGGGGCCGGGGGTGCCCGTTGACAGGGGGTCCCGGGGAGGGCACCAGGGTGCAGCCCGGGAACGGGGACCGGGGCGGGGAGCAGGGACCAGGTGCCGGTACCTTCCCGTGCCTTGAGCAGGACGGTGTTGGCCACGATGTTCTCCAGCTCCATGGCGCGGGGGTCCCCGCACACCATGCCCGGCGCGGTCCGGGCGCCTCCCGCCGCCACCGGCCGCCTCCGGGGCTGCGTCACCGCCGTGACGTCACGGGCCGCCCCCGGCGTCACGGGATTATGTAAAGGGAGAGCGGGAGCGACCCCCGCGCTTCGGGGGTCCCCCCGACACCCCCCTGGGGGTCGCACCAGCTCCTCGCACCCTCCATCCCCGGCTGGAGACACTGACCCCGAGACTACTGGCACCAGAGCAGCCTTCCTCCTCCTCCTCCTCCTCTTCTTTCCACCCTCCAGGAACGAGACCCCAGGGCTCTGGGGAGGGGAGTTCCCCACCTATCCATGTCCCCAAAAGCCATCTCCCTCTCGTTGAGGATTTTCCAGTCGCAGGAGCCACCTCCAGCTCCATTAAAGCTTTTTTATTTTTTAGCATTTCCTTGTTTACACCTTTGCCACCTCCCAAACCCTCAACACCCACTCGAGCCCACCCAACAGGGCATTCACGTTTCCCCCCAAAGTGAGTGGGCCCTGGGCCAGTGAGGAGGGGTCAGTGCTGGCCACGGTGGCTGTTGGCTCTCCAGGACAGCTCTGCTCAGCCCCAGCAAGCAGAGCTGGGCTTGTCTTGCACAGAAACCAGCCCCTTTGGAAGGCAAAACCCCTGCTGTCCCCCCAGCACAGACTCTTTTTCCCCAGAGAACTTCTCCCCTGCCCAGGAAAGTGGTCTGAGGCTCCACAGGGATTGTCCCTGCCGAGGTTTGCCCTTCCCTGCCCACGCACAGGAGGCTCCTGGAGCCTGGCAGCTGCCCAAAGCCAACCCCAACCCAACGTCACAGCCAAGGACTCTCCTACCTCCGGGACACGCTCGGGGCAAAGGACATTCCAACCTGAGACAGCGGCGGCGGCTCCACCAGAGCCCTGAGGTGAGGAGGGGCTGTGGTGCCCCTGGTGTGGCAGCTCTTCATCAGCAGGTAGGTGGGTTCAGCTGCAGGGGAGCACTACAGCCTGGCTGGGGGGTGCTGGTAATCTTTGCTGGGGTACAGGGAGTGCACCCAGGTTCCGCTCCCCATCCCACAGGGAAGGATCTTGCTACATCCTCCAGCTTTTCCTTGGAGCAAGCCCGCTTCCCCTGCACAGCACCTGGCAGGGACACGAGTTGGCACAAGGGGTGCTCACCCTGAGAGAGGGGGGAACACCAGGACCAGAACACTGGAAAACCAGTGATGCCAGGATCAAGGATTTATTTACAATTCAAGGAAAACTCTCACACAGAGTCACGTGAGGAGGAAAAAAACCAAACAAACCCAAAGAGCAGCGATGTGCCTCCCGAACACAAACGCTCGCTCCCAGCCGTCCTGCCAGACCTCATCTCCTTCTCTGCAAGGAGTCTAAAGGCATGATTTGTGTAGAGAAAATACAATCTGAAAATAAAGCCCGCCTTCCCAAGGAGCTCTGTCCCTGCCCAGGCGGATCAGGAGCCCGGAGGGGCAGCAGCTCTAGTACTCGTCCAGCGTGTCCGCCCGCGGCACCGACAGGCCCCGCTCCTTCAGCGCCTGCACCTTCAGCTTCTCCGACTCCTGCTTGGCCTGCAGCTCCACCCGCTGCTCCTCCAGGATCTCTTCAATGGACACCTGCTGCAGAGGAGTGTCGCTCTCCTTCTCCAGGTCCTGCAGGAGAAACGGCCTGTTCAGCCCACCCCTGGCAGTGTCCCCTGGTGCAGAGCCAGCAGGGAGGTGAGAGGCAGCCACTAATGCCACCCTCCTGCTCTTCACCCTTCATGTCATCCCCGATGGAGACACCTCTGCCCTCTGCACCCCGGGGACATTTCTGTGATGCTTCAGCCTGAACTGGTCCTGGGAGGGGGCCTAAATTCCAGCCCCCCAGCAGGACGGCGACTGCATTTCTCAGCAGATAGACCACAAACACCCCCAGCTCAGTCCCAGGCTGCAGCAGGAGCTGTTCACTTACAATTTCCCCCAGCAGAACCACGTTCTCGCCCCTCACGACAAAGATGCCCCGAGGGATGTCCCCATACTTCTTGCCCACGTGGATGCGCTCCACAGTCTGGTGCAACACCAAGTTTGCTGCAGCGACGAGAGAGACAGAAAACCATCCGCATTTCGCTGTGATTTCCAGCTGCACCGAGTGTCCCGTCCCCCCAGGCAGAGCCCCCAGGGCGGTGATGGTGCTCTCCCACCACTCGGTGGGTGCTCCCCAAAGGCACAGACCGTGTCCCCAGCTCTCTCCACCTGGGCAGCACCTGCGCTCAGCTCTTACAGCCGTGCGGGCAGGGCGGGGAGAGAGCTCAGACCCCCGGGCTGAGCCCACCTGAGACCCTCGTGCCTTCGGCAGCAGAGAAGACGGCGGGCGTTGTTGGTGCTGCAGGTTCTTGGCAAGGAGCGAGCGATGGGCTGGAGCGCGAACATCACCCGGGCTATTTCTGCCCAAAAAGCGATGCCAGGGCATCAGCGCTGGACACGATCACGGGGGGAAAGCTCCCAGTTCTGGGAGAAGCACCAAGGGACACATAGGCGGGCGTTTAACCCACAGCACGAACACACTCTAAAACCGCACGGCGGGTCCCTCCTCCCCCTCCTCCTCCTCCCCCCTGCCCGGGACCGACCCCAGGGGGTGCCCGCAGCCCCCCGCCCGGCCGTACCGAACTGGTCGATGCTGCGCAGGTACCCGATGAGCGTCCGCCCGTCCCGCAGCAGCACCAGGTGCTTCTCTGCGGGGGAAACGAGAGCGGGGCGTCGGTCCCGGTCCCGAGACAGCGCGGGGGGACCGGAGCCCGCGGGGGGACCGGAGCCCGCGGGGGGAGAGGCCCGGGCAGCCCGCAGGGGGCAGGACCTCGCGGGGCGCACTCACTGTCGATGTCCTGGATCAGGCTGGCCGTGCCGGGCATGTAGTTCATGGTGGAGCCGCCGCAGCGGAAGCGCCGCCATGCGCCGGTACCGCCGCCCCCGCCCCGGAACCGGGCGGGCCCCCCGGGGGGGAGCGGCCCCTTTTAAGGCGTGCGCGCGGGGCGGGCGCCGATTGGGCGGTGTTGGCGGGGCGCGGGCGCCGATTGGGCGCGGGGCGCGCGCGGGGCGCGGCCATTGGCGGCCGCCATGGAGCGCCGCGGGCGCGCGGCCGCGCCGGGCCCGCCCGGGTCCTCCCGCCCGCCGGAGGCCGCGCAGGTAACGGGGGTGGCGGGACGGGCTGGGGCGGGCAGGGCAGGGCAGGGCAGGGCAGAGCCCCGCGGGATCGGCGGCACCGACCCCAGCCCCGGCCCCTGCGCCCCGCCGGTTTGGGGTTCCCGGGGCTCCCCCTCCGGGCGCGGAACGGGGCGCGGATGCCCCATCCCGGGCGCGGGGAAGCGCTGCCCGCGCACCTGGCTCACGGGGAGGTTTCTGGGGCACTCCCGGACCCGATCCCACAGCTGGGCATTCCCGGGTCTGAGCCCCTGGATGGGCATTCCCGGATCCCTTATTGGGTTTATGGCAGCCAGAGCTTTTCTGGGGCCACGGTGCAGATCCTGTGCCAAGGGAAGGGCTTTGCCCTCCCAGAGCAGGGTGAGCTCTCCAGACACGGCTGCGGTTCGGTTTCTCCTGTGGGACTTTGTCCTGTGGGACGTGCAGGTCTGGTCGGGCTCTTCCATAAATCCCGGCACACAGGTTATGCAGTCTCCGCTCCCTGAAGCAGCTCGGGGGCAAAACACCGCTTTGCCCAAAGCTACAGGGAGTCATCCCTGAGCTGCTGAAATCCTGGGCTTAGTCGTCCTCTCTGGGGTTGGGTGGAAGCTCACGTTCTGTACACAAAGATTACTGGGATGGATCCAGGTAAATCCCGACACGTCCTTGGTGTGCAGACCTTCCATACACAGACCCACACGAGCCAGGGGAGCTGCACTCCTGCTCCTCAGGCCTGGGGCTGCTACAGCTCCTCTTTGCATCGTGTCTGGGCAAGAATGAGCAGGAAAATGGACTTTCCTGGAGTGTTTTCCCCCTCTGGTCAGTGATGCAGTGCTGGGGTTGAAGCTCCAGGGGCTGCTCCCTGTGAGGGGCTGCACATGTGTCCCTGAGCTGACATGGTTAAACTCAGTGTTAGATCTGGCACGGCCAGGTTAGACCAGGAGAACCTAAAACTGGGTGAGATCAGCCCGGGGCTGAAGGAACTCCCCACTCCTGGAGCCCCTCTGCCCGTGTCCGTGTCCCCTCACCTCTCCTCTGCTCTCCAGGCGATGGATTCTCCCTATGCCAACGGAGCCTACAGCCCCCCGTACCCGCAGTACCCCAGCCTGCCCCAGGCACGGGGGTTCTACTGCTCGGGGCCCCCCCGGACCCCCTACCCCCCGGAGCCCACGGGCCTGTACCGGCCTCCATCGCCCGCTCCTGCCTGGAGCTACGTGTCCCCAGAGTGTCCCCCCGAGGGCTCCGCGCTCCGGAGGCAGCAGGTGCCTGGCTACTCCCCACCACAGGTAAGGAAGGGACAGCCCCCAGTCCTGGGGTCGGTGTGTGCAGTTTGTGGGATGTTTCCTGGGGGGCTGTGGTGGGGGATGCCCAACCCAAACCTCTGGAACGGCTCGAGGCCCTTTCCTCCTGTCCTGTCTCTTGCTGCCTGGGAGCAGAGCCTGACCCCCACCTGGCTCTACCCTTCAGCTCCCAGGGCTGTGCGGGGGGAGCAGTGCTAGGAGTGACCCCCTGTTCCCCCTCTCCTTGCAGACCCCAGGAATGCCGATGCCGCAGTATCCGTACGGAGACAGCAGTGCAGGGGTCGCGGCCCAGGGGCCTGTGCCACAGCCCAGAGCCCCGGAGGACACGTGGGGCCCCCCCTCAGTGTATGGGGTGCAGCCACGTTACAGCTGGCCCGCGGCCCCGGGGCACGGGAACCTGTTCGTGCCTGACTCACACCCGTCCTGGACCAACAGCGGGGCTCCTGCCCACCCTCCCGCCTGGGACTCACAGGTACAGCTGACCCCTTTGCAGACAGGAGACCAAAATCCACAGCTGTGCTTCCATAAAGTGCTGGAGGTACCAGACATCCTGGGGTGGGTCTTGAAATGGGTCAGACCTCATCTTGCTTGTCCAAGAGCAGCAAAATCAGAAACTGTCCAGGGAGGAGCAGGGGACTGACCTGTGGGACAGGTGTTCCACTGCAGGTGGTTCCACTGTGCTAGTTTTGGGTGCAGCCATCTCCTGCTGAGGAGGGGTTTAAGTAAACATCAGAAGGAAAATGTCTGTTCATCTCGGCTTGGTCTGGGTTCGATCAGGAGCCAAGTGACTCTCCAGAGGTTTGATCCCTGGGGAGCAGCAGCTCTGATGGGGGGACTGGGGGATGGGGGCTGCTGTTCCTTGGGAACAGCTCCAGAGTGTGCTGCCTGTGGAGAAGGATCTTCTGGTCTACCCAAACGGGCCCGTGCTGAAATCTGTTCAGCATCTGTCCCTGGGGAACAAGGGTTCAGGGGCTCACTCTGTTCCTCCACATGTGTGCCCCTTGCTGGGGTTCTGCTCCAGCAGTGCAGACCCCTGTGCCCAGTTTCCCCAGCCCTGCCCACACATGGTGCAGGCTGAGAATGGAAACCCCCCCGGGGTTTGAGGGAAATGCTGTTACGGGTGTTCTCTCTGTCTGACTGCAGGACTCTGCCTACGACAGACCCGAGCAGAGCCCGAGCCAGCACGGCTACTGCTCCGAGGTGAAGCAGCAGCAGTCGGGGCCGGTGGGTGAGCACAGGCCGGCCCAGCCCCAGCACAGGGTGCAGTACAGTGCCCAGCCCCAGCTCTACGACCTCGGCCAGCGCCGGCCCCCGAGCCGCGAGCCCGGGGGGAAACCGGCCGAGCAGCCTCCTGCAAACCCCGCGGCCCTCCAGCCCGAGATCCAGAGGATCCTCCACGTGATGGGCGAGGCCGAGCAGCTGGAGGAAGAGGTGGATGAGTTTGTGGGGAAAAAGACAGATAAATCTTACCGGCTCCTGGAGGAGATGTTGACCAAGCTGCTGCTGGAGCTGGATTCCATCGAGACTGGGGGCCAGGACAGTGTCCGGCAGGCCAGGAAAGAGTCCGTCCACAGAATTCAGGCCATACTGGAAAAACTGGAAAGAAAGGGATTGTGAAAGCACATCGGCCACGACACACGGCCTGTTGTTGAAGTTCCAAAGAGTTTCAGTTCTTTTAAATCTCAGCTCTTTCTGCTACGCACTACTGACAATGGAAAATAGCAATAAGCCCTGAGTTAACAATCAAACCCACAAAAAGGCCACCCCAGAAGCCCAGCCCTGAGAGACAACTTGGCAAAGGACAAATTGAGAGAGGTTTGAAGAAGCAAACGTCATTAATGAAGATGTTGAAGAGGACTGGGCTGAGGATGGAGCCCTGTGGGGCTGTGTACAGAATTCCCCAGACCAAGCCCAATCTCTGGGTGCCTCCTGCAGCCACAGACAGTCTTTAAACACTTGCCAGATGTGCTGCAACGTGCAGCCACCAACCAAGACTCAGGGCTTGTCCTCACTGCCTGTATTTTCAGCTTCAGCTCCCTCACCACAAAGCCCGTGTGTCCTCGTGGGGGTTGTTTGGGTTTGGTGCACTCAAGGAGCGACAGTGACGTGCTGGAAGGGGGCACCGTGCTGGCACGGCACGTCGGGCTGTTCCTCCTCTGGGGTGAAAAGCCAGTCTGGGGTGTCCCTGTGGACATAAGAACACAGACTGGAAATCCCAGTTCTGCCACTGGAAAGGAGAGCTGCAAGTGGAGGACTGATGTCAGAACAGATGCAGGGTGTTTGGAAGTGATTTCCAGGTCACTTGGGTAAAAATCCTGTTTAATGTCCCTCTCATCCTGTGAGTTTTGTGTCCCACTGCACAGCGGGGAGGGAACAGCTCAGCCTGTTTCAGCCTCCTGGTTACAACGTGCTCAGTGACTCATTGCCGTGTGTGACACTTAATAAACCCTGACAAGTTTTAAATGTTATTTTGTAATTGAGACGTCTCAAAGTCTCTCTTTCTTTGAAGAGAAGTGGTGGGGAAGGTTGTGTAACTCAGACGAAAACTCCAGCCGGGCTGTCTGGGTGCCCAGGTCAGGGGTGAATGGAACATCTGAGAACACTGCTCTGGGGGTGCCAGGGTGTCCCATCACCTCCCAGGCAGTGCAGATGCTCCAGGAGCCTCCAGCTGTGGCTCCAGGAGCAGTGGCCAAGTTTTGGAAGGGGTTCTGGCCTGCCTGAGGCTGGGAGGGCCCTGACCATGCACTCTGAGGGGCTGACAGCCAACCAGTGTCCTGGAGGCACCCAGCACATCCCACATTCCCAGATGGGGCTGCGTTCCCCCATGTCCTGTGCAGCCAGCAGCAGTCAGCCTAGAATCTCTGGAGCTGGCTGAAACTGTTTTCTGTGTTTGTTCCAGTAGCAAGAATCACATCAGGAGCAACTCCCCATTGTTTACCACAGGCTGTTTGCTCCAATCTCCATTTCCCTGCTCTCCGTTGCCAGGGAGAGGAGGCAGGTAGATCCCAGCTGTGTGAGGAGGAATGTGGAGCAATCCTTGCACTCAGCACTGCAATGCAGGGAGCCAGGAGAGAGGGACATGCTGTGCAGGTGGCTGCTGTGTCCCCAGCGTGCTGGGGACGGGACAAAGGCCCCTGTGCTGTGGTGACACGGTAAGAACAGGGTGAGAACTGCAGGTGCGTGCATGGCATCCAAACCAGGGAAAACCCGTGAGGAAGGAGGAAGCTGCTTTGGAGTTTTGGTGCTGAACCCATCCAGGTAACATATTCCAGGACAATATTTCCTGTTCCTGCCTCCTTGGCGGAGGGTTATGGAAATCCCTAGTGAAAAGCACACGAGAGAACATTAAGTGGGCTGAAAGAGCAGGTTATCATTGCAGGGGGTGGGGATTTAAACAGCTCCATGGGATGGCCTGGCTACGTGTGACCTTCTGGCGTCCCTGGGTGCGCTCTGTGTGTTACCCCAAAGCTGAGCTGAGCTGAGCAAAGGCATCAGGGCACACCTCCTGCACTCAGCCTGCGTGAAACTCCAGCTGCTGTAACCTCATCCTTCCCCACTGCCTCCACCTCCCTCACACGGGACCAAAGTGGGTCACAGCTTGGGCAGATGATCCCAACAGAGCCCGTCTCTGCCCAGCAGCCTGGGCAGGGCTGTGTCAGCACCCACTGGCACAGGCCCTGCACGGACGAGGTTTGCAGCTGCTGGCTCTCCATCTGCAGAGCTGGGGATATTTTAGCACTTCTGGCCTTTCAGTTTTCCTCGCCAGTCCCTGCTATGGTGGAAGTGAGCCCTGGGATGGGAGTTCCTGGCAACTGGTTTATCTTGCAGCATCCACCCACACCTCATCCCCCCAAATTAGAAAGTCCGTCTCTGTTTATCTTTGGGCCCGTCTCTACAGAAACCAAACTTACTCTGGGGTTGCCCGTTGCTTCTCCAGCAGTGCCTGCCCTCAGCAGAGGGTTTCTCAATCACCACCGAGGCCAAAGGGTCACAGAGGGGCTGAAAACCAAACATTAGGTCAGCGCCTCGTGGTTTCTGCTGCAGGTCACCCCATGCTCGAGTGTTTGTCCCTGCCGCACGCGGGAGGCAGCTGGCACGAAGGCAGGGGCTTCCCGGTGATGCCGCGCCGGTACCGCGCACCCCTGGCCCCGCATCGGGCTCGGGGCTGGAGGGACCCGCCCGGGATAAGGGCTGAGACCGGACAGTCCCAACTAGCGCTGGCATCGCCCGTGACGGCGCTTGGGCGCGGACCCGCCGGGGCCACTGCCAGCGGTGGTGTCTGCATGTCTGCAGACGGGGAACGCGGGCAGGGAACACGGACGAGGGTCAGCACAGGGACCACGGGCAAGAGCCGCAGGCGGGGATTGCGGGCAGGGATTGCAGGCAGGGATTGCGGGCAGTCCCTGCTCCGCCCCGGCGGTGACGGCAGCGGGGGGGGCCGCGGGCAGCACCGCCCCGGGCTGGGCGGTCGCCGGGGCCGGAGCGGAGCTGCCTCCCGGACCGGGCCGCGCCGCCGCAGCAGCCGCGGGGGCAGCGGGGCCGGAGCCGCTCGGGACCGGGCGCCGGGGCCGGGTCCCTCGCAGGGCGCGATCCGCGGAGCTCCCGGCGGCGGAACCGGCGCTCCCCGCGCAGCAGCTCCATGTCGGCGCAGGAGCCGCCCCGGCCGCCCCCGGCCGAGCCCCCGGAGCCCGAGCCCGGCGGCCGGTACGAGGCGGTGGTTCCGCACTGGTTCTACTGCAAGGTCACGGACTCGCGGGAGCGGTGGGTCCCCTTCAGCGCGCAGGACTCGGAGCGGCTGGAGGAGGCGCACGGCGCAGGTAGAGCGGGATGGGCCGGGCTGGGCTGGGGCCGGGAGCGCGGACAGAGCCCACCCGCCGCGGGGGTGGGGTCCCACCAGTGTCCATCGCCCACCATCCATCCACCCCTCGGATTGGGGGGTCCCTTGGCACCCCCGGCCTTCAGCTCCCACCATCCATCCACCCCAGGGGTGGGGGTCCCACGGCACCCCGAGCCTCCAGCTCCCACCACCACTGTCTGTCAGTCACCCTTTGGTTTTACATCCCACGTCCCTGCTCTTAAATCGGTGCAAAGAACGGGCCTGGTGAGGTCGATGGGGGAGCATCAGGTGCGTGCTCAGGGTAAACACTGTCCGGGTACCAGGGAAAAATTCCCTGGACACATCCATGGCTTCCACCTGGGATGCCAGGTTTTCCTTCGGGGAAATTTAAATTGGAACTTTTCTTGGCCACGTGCCTGGCTCCCAATAACTGAGCTGTTTGGATGCATCAAATGGTCTGAGCGTGTTCAATTGATATTGCTCTAAATTGTACATAATCACAGCACAAAGCATCCTCTGGTGAGGCTGGGAGAGTGCTAGGAGGATGGCAGGAATTCTGCTGGGGGACTCCCCTCGTGGGGAAGCATGGAGCTGTGTCTGCTCCTGGAGGAGAAGGGGTTGGGGGTTGGCTCTGAGCCCTGCACTGAGGCCCTTGTGTGCCAGATGTCACCGTCTGTGCCACCCGCTGCTGCTGTGGGCAGAGCTCTGATTGCCCAAGGTTTGGCTCCTGTCCTCCCTCGCCCAGGAAGTTTTGGATTAGAGGTCGTGCTGCCCGCCCCCAGTGCCACAGCCCAGCCCAGGGCAGAGCCAAAAGGCAGGGCAATTCACAGGATTTGAGGTCCATATTGGGGTCAGTGTGGAGTTCTAAGGGGGCAGAATGATTTAGAGACCCAGCTGCACCCCCCCCCCCCATTACACAATGCACTTTCCAGGCCACAAATTCACTTTTACCCTCTAAGCAAGGCAGGAAGAGGACCAGAGACGAGGACAGTTAATGCCTTCATCTTACCTTCTGCCTCCAGGGGTTGTGTGGCTTGGGGCATCTCTCCCGGGACATCCCGATGCTGCTCTCCGGGCTCGGCCGTGGGGAGTGTCGGTGTTTGCTGCCGAGGCTCAGACCCGCCGTGGTCCGGCCTCGTCCCTCTGGCACGTTACAGCCTTCTGGGAGCACGCTGTTCTGAGCCTCCCGTGGTTAATCCCAGGCCTTGGTTCCCGCAGGGAAGGACCAGGAAGATGTGGTTGTGGCGACGTCGGGGGGCAGGTACGACGTGCACCTGAGGCGGCGGCAGCGCGTGGCCGTGTACTGGGAGGAGGAGGTGTCCGAGGTGCGGCGCTGCACCTGGTTTTACAAGGGAGACAAGGACAACAAGTATATTCCCTACTCGGAGTCCTTCAGCGAGGAACTGGAGGTAAACACACCTTTCCTGCTGGTTTCCAGCTTGGCCTCTCCTTGTCGCGTCCCGGCCCTGATGTCCCAAACCCCGTACGGGGCCACTGGCGCCATAGTCAGGCCTGAGGACACGAACTCCAAAGAGGCTTTGGCACGGCGTTCCTGCAGCTGATTAATGTAACTGTGAGCACTGCTGTGGCCTCCCCGTCCCCTGCCCTCGTCCGGCTGCGGCTCATCCTCCTGCGACACCCTCAGCGTCAGGCTGTGCTTTGGGAAGGTGCACATGTAGGGCTGGAGATGTCTGCGTAAAAACACACAGCACCGCAATAATCTCTGTTCTGATGTGCCAAAAATACAGTTTTAAGTTGATGGGGAAGTCTGATGCTGCTGCTGCTGTCGCTGTCAGAGGGGGGATGTTCTTGGACACGCTCAGCAGGTGATCCTGGGATGACCCTGCTGCTCCTCCAGCTGATTTCTCTGCCGCTTTTGCAAAGTGTTGATAAGATGTTCTGAAAACTGGGTGGGGAACGTCTCAAGAGGTTGAACATTCATGGGAGTACTTCCAGCTGACTCACAGAGGGTGTTCTCTTCTGTAGGAAGCTTACATGATTGCTGTGACCCTGGATGAGTGGAAGAAGAAGCTGGAGTCCCCCAGCAGAGAAGTCATTATCCTGCACAACCCAAAGGTGAGCAGGGCCTGCTATCTCTGGGCTGATCAGTGAGAACACCCCCTTGGGTCTCCGCAGGTCTTGCTTTGTGCTGTTCCCTTCAGCCATGTCTGCTGAGAAATGGGTTTCTCCCAGTGGAATTCCCCTCACCTGCCTGTGCCCAGGAGAGGGTGATGCCAGAAAAGTCTGGCATTTCCCTCACATTCCTTCTCAACACCTCTTTGCGCAGTGGGCTCAGCCCAGCTCAGTCTGGTGCCAGCCCGTGTCACCCGCAGCTGCTGCAGCCTGAGCTCTCTCTGCTCTGCCACGGGTCACTGACAGGCCCTCCTTGTTCCCCAGCTGATGGTGCACTACCATCCTGTGGCCAGCTCTGACGACTGGGTCTCCACTCCCACGGAACAAGGTCGACCCCGGACTGTGAAGAGAGGAGTAGAGAACATCGCTGTGGAGATCCCCAGCGGTGAGCCCACCTCTCCCTTCCACCCATCTGAAGCTGTGGAGTGTTTTCCAACCAGTTCTCTCAAACAGACTGACAGAAGCTCCCATGATCACATTTCGTGCCCAAAGGAACCG